CCGACGGAAAGACCTACATGGTTCACCTGACGGGGCGTCCCACGACGGAGAAGAGGCGGTGCGTTCTTGGACGCGAGACCGCGATCCAGGAGGCGTACTGGGGTGACGATGACTGGCTCTACGTCAAGAACGGCCCCGTACCGTCTCTGTACGTCGAGGTACCTGGTACCAGAGATGATACTTCGTACTGGGCGGAGAAGAAATACACATTTGAGAACGGCCTGCCCAAAGACTTCCAGTGGCTGCGGACGCCGGAACCCGAGCGCATCTTCTCAACCGAGGACGGAAAGCTCACGCTCATCGGGAGGGAATCGATTGGATCTTGGTTCGAGCAGGCGCTCGTCGCTCGCAGGCAGACACACTTCTCCTACGACGCTGAGACCACCGTCGACTTTGCGCCCACCGATGAGCGCGAGTTCGCAGGGTTGACAGCGTACTACTGCCGCTACAACTTCTTCTACCTGACCGTCACCGCGCACGAGGACGGGAAGCGCGAGCTGTTGATTCAGAGCTCTGAGGCTTCGTGGCCCGATAGCGACCTCACGATGCCGTTTCCCGAGGCGGTTGCGCTGCCTGATACGGGCAAGGTGAAACTCGCGCTGACGATTCGCGGGCCGAAGCTTCAGTTCTACTATGCTCTCGAGGGCGAGGAACTCAAGGCTATTGGTCCGGTGTACGATGCTTCCATCATTTCGGATGAATGTGGTGGGCACCAGGCGCATGGAAGCTTTACGGGTGCTTTTGTTGGTGTTGCTGCGTCTGATTTGAATGGGACTGCTAGACGTGCGGCTTTTGATTATTTTACGTACCGTCCTGTTCATGATGAGACCGACCGTTATGATATTTAATAAAGATTCCCTATCGTCTCCGTCTGTACGAGGGCGCTGGCCTTATATTGTACGTCAAATTTTGGCAAGGCATGGCAGAATCAAACGGTTCTGGACTGAAATGCCTATTTGAAATGAATATCTCGAAACATTCGGTTTTGGTAGAACGATGCAGTCTCATGTAATAGGCGTTCCAAGTCTTCGAATCAATGAGCTCCTATGGCTGAAATTCGATCGTGTCGAGTAAAGCAGACACACAAATGATGCTGTTCACGACATGCCTCAGACGAAAAAGATTCATCGCCAAGACAAGCTGGTCGACGAGTAGCGGAGGCATTGATGTTCTGTCATTCTTCGGGCTGCACCTGAATATCGGACTTGGCCTAGAACTTCCCCCTAGCCCTATTTCAAAGTAGTCAGGCTTCCTTCTGGGACGCAAGTCAAAGCAAATCTTACACCAAAGGGAGCAGTCGGTTGACCATGCCGTAAGAGCTTATTGCGAGCAGGGGAAAACCAACACTGCGTATGCTGCCAAGAACGCCTACGTGGACAGGGATGGTGCGCGGTGTATTGCTTGCTTAGGATGTTAAGCCCCATCTTTATCACCAACCGCTTTAAAAACAGGTAGCGCCCTCTTTTCTGGTTGACAACAACTTCCAACAGCATCCATCCTGCGGCACAGTTTCGCCTAGCCTTTACCGGAAACTATCGCACAACCCTAAGAGTCGCCAGCCACGTCTCACAGCATGGAAGAATATTTCGCCACGCGCAAAATCGAAGAGCTACCTAGGCATCGCTCTGACTGGAAACTTGACGCGTTCAGGAGGACTTGCGAAGACATGAGAGACCTCAATTATCCCACCTGGGGCTTCGTCATTTATCGTTGTACCTACGATGATGAAGATCTCTGGGTCCGCTACCTGTCGCAGCTCAAGGACTTTGCCCATGAATGGCTCGTCAAGACTCGCCGAGCTGAGCTGTTAGAACAGTATCTCGATTTTCATGTTATTGAGGATCGTGCCACCCTTGAGAATGCCTCGAGACAGGACCTTAGGCGACACTTCAATCAATGGACTTCGACTCAGAACATTCCCGCCGGGGACGGCTTCTTCTGGAGCAAAACAGGGGCAGAACTACCTCGTTTCCGCTTCTTTCTATACGTCGACAAGCAAATTCTCGCCACCGTTGTTCAATTCCAGAATGCAGACAACGCATACACTGGCCATCCAATGTTCCGATTGTTACTTCCTCCAATGGTTATCGCAGTCGTAGATGGTTCTTGGACTCCAGACACCGTGCAGAGTTATGAGCCACAGAATGAAGACGGGTACCCTGAGATTGATGGCAGTTCGAAGAGATACGTCGGCTTCGAATATTACCTGGCATGTTACGCCACTGCGTTGTACGAGACCCTCCACGGGCCTGGGCTTGTTGACTGGTCTTCTTACACGCGTCCGCCGGCGATAGGACCCACGGGAAAAGAGACAATGTCTTGATAAATGTTCGGCCTCAACAGTAAAACTACCTACACATGGTATCTAGAGGTCATACAACACTTCATGTCACATGTTACATCACGCAGCTCAGAATATACTCAATGTCTGTCAGGCTCTGCCCGGATAGGGGCTAGCATAGGACCGACGAGGGAGGTCTGAGCAACAAAGGAGCAGCTCGAGCATATATAGAGCGCAGAGAGTATACTTCGAGGGAGGGGCAGATTTCAGTAATTCATCCTTTTGACCCTAACAGCAGTTGGCCTCTGTGAGCTTCTTCCCTGCGTCGTATACCTATTGACAATGTCTACATGTGGCAGACTGACACCTGGAACGCCATGTCTCGATCCACCAGCACTGTCTTGTCAAAAGAACTGCGTGCATTCTGGGACGACCTGAACGGCTTTGATCTGGCCACCGACGAGAGGACTCAGCCAAATGCAATAATTACGAGCATTCACTTGCGTCCTCCCTAGATGGAATCTCTGAACTATTGGCAAGGGCCTTCGCACATCCGGTGCATCAGCAGGCCCATGTGAAGGCTTTTTGTATCATCACCTCATTCATCTGATATTCAAGCAAGCTGCTATAATTATACCGAACCTCTGCTCGTCCTCTTAGCCCCCTAGAAAACCATGCACAAGCGGCCCTTGAGCTGATTAGATAAATAGTGCTCCGCCATCTCGTTAGCCTGTTCAACATCGTACGTCTTCTCAATGTGCGTTTTGCAACCATTCTTTGCATGCAACTCCACCATCTCCCTGCTCCGTTCAGGAGTGCATATCAACGCACCACGGATAGTCTGCTCCTTGAAATTCAGCGCAAAGGGATCGACCTCAAAAGGCCCATCGGCGGGAAGACCGACATCGACCAGCACACCACCCTTGCGCAAGAATTGCTGTCCGAACCTCACAAGCGGCCGTGCCTCGGTGGTGATGACGACGCGGTCGACGCCGGGGTTGGTATCATAGAATGAAGTCTGGAGCTCTTCAACAACCTTCTTCTGAGACTCCTCTGTGTCGATGAGGTACGTGCAATCGGGCTTGAGGTGTGAGGGCACATCGTTGGCTAGGTCGAGTCCTTCTTGTCTGTTGTCGATGACGATGACTTTGTATCCCAACGCCTTGGCGTATTGCACACCGAGGTGTCCCAGGCCACCGATACCCACGATAGCAAGCCACTGGCCCTTCTGCCCCTGCGCGGCACACAGCGCGCCGTAGACCGTTGCGCCAGCGCAGAACAAGGGCGCGGCCTCGGCCCAAGGGATGGATTCGGGAATCTTGGCGACGACACGGGCGTCGGCTTTCATGTACTGCGCGAACCCGCCGTCCAGGGTAAGTCCCAGCATGCCGACGAGGTTATCGCATACCTGTCTCCCTTGGTTGCACGAGTTGCACTTGCCGCAGCAGCCATAGGTGTTGATAGAACCGACACGGTCACCGACTTGAAGACCCTGCTTGCCTGCTTCGGAACCGAGCCTGATGATGGTGCCGGCGGGTTCGTGGGAGCCGACAAGGCCTGGTTTTGCGCCGGCCGAGGCGTAGACACCCTGCTGGACCTGGAGATCTGTGTGGCAGTAGCCTGCGGCGGCAATCTTGACGAGGACGTCGTTTGGGCCGAGGTCGGTCGGGACGTTTACATCCTTTACCTCATAGCCTTTGTTGAAGTCTTTGATTGCCGCGGCGCGCATTTGTTGGGGGATCTGGTCTGCCATGTTGGAAGGAGGTTGAACCAATCAGTAGCGATGTCGCAATCAGTAGCGATGTCGCAATGTTGTTGTTACTCAGGATTGGGTATGTTTGGCTCAATGCAATTGGAAGATACCAAAAATGGGGTTTAATAGGGTGACCAGAAAATGAGTTCACAAGAACCTCTTTGTCTTTGATGTCTTTCAATACTTATAGGCTGGCGAGACCGTCAACCGGTGACCGATTTTGTCTGTGAAACGTCATAATAGACGCTCATCAGATGTGATGCGGAATGCAATATCAGCGTCACAGGGTCCAATGATAGTTACGTCAAGTGGAACAGTTTGACGGACTTTGCAGCCTCATAGTGTCATAAAAGTGGCCCATTCAGAAACGCTGGTCCGGGAGCACATGAACGGTATCGGACCCCATTCAGCATGTAAGCTTTCGGAAAAATTGTAGTATCGTCGATGTCTGCCACTTCTCTGCCATGTAACTGACATGTCAACGATGGTGAACATTATGCAGTACCAGAATTCGATCTTCTCACACTTACAGCATCGGTTAGAACTTCAAGTCTATTGGTTGCTAGTGGTAAACTGGTAAATGTCGGTGAGTTTGGAAAAGTTCACAAATGTGTGAAGTCGATGTCCCGTCGCCATATGCAAACCCAAGTTACGACGTCGGCCGATTACCGCTGTCTCAAGTACGGTGATGTAACCTTGAAATCATCACAACAGTTTCGTCCGGTGAGAGTGCATCGGAGCTTTACACCCTCGGTGACATCGGTGTGAGGCAAGCTAGATCTGTGGGCTCAACTCCACCTAGACCCACCGTGCCGAGCGGGATCCTGAGATGCATCCGCCATCGAGATCGCGCTGGATACAGACCCGGGTTCTCTTCAATATTATACACGTTTTGATAAGAACGCTAAGGGCGCAATTAATTGCGAGTCTAGTTGTAGGGCTCTACGTTCCTTTCTCAATACCCCATCATGACCAGGTGCATCTCGTCTTAATGTTGGGCTGACCTGCTGCGCCAAGGGTTGGGTGGTAGACCTTCTTGGTGTCCGCAGTAACGGGATCCACCACCTGGCACTGGTCGCCCTCGTCGTAGTAGCTCCCCTTCAACTCCGTCTCACAGATTCTCTGCCTCCAGTTGCGCAGGCTGTCATTGTACGCGGCAGGTGGTGCTGGTGAACAGCTGGCGTGGAAGACGGTGATATATTCGGCCAAGACTGTGCTAGACAGGGCGAACAAGATGGTTGCTGTCTTGAGATGCACTGTGGAATGTTAGGAATGCAAGTCCGGTTCTTGAGTATTGGGAGAATGTTTGACTAACTGATGAAGTAGTGATTGTTATGAGGAGCGATTGATTTGATGTTTGCTTCAATCGCCTTGAACGAGATGTGACCATAACATCTGACATGCATTGAAAGACCGGATTGGTGTGGGCTTAAGTATACCGGACCCAGCACGAAATCGCGGCATTGAATACTATTACTGTTCGAAGTTCAATTAAATTGAAGGAAACTCTAAGAAACAGCTAGGAGTTGAAAGTCGAATGTCGCATTCGCTTTTCCCCCTTTTGAAGTGCTAAGCTTTGTACTAAGTGGGCTGCAAGACGCCCGCTCGTTCCGATCACACAGACCACAACGACATCACTGAAGTATTGAAAATATCGTTTCGTCGTTGGAAAAGTTCTTCAAGTCTAAAAAGAGAATCATTTGCGTTCTGGGCTTTTGCGCTTATTATTTGATTAATTGATTGTGTGTTACCAAGTCGAAGCTGGTCACGTCTGATGTCTCGTTCCCAGGATTCTGATGCTGTCCCAGCCCGACGGAAGTTATGACTCCGTCTCCTTCGGCTATACGCCAGATTCAGGACCAATAAACCTTATTTAATGTCAAGCTGCTTAAGCAATACTTACTGGATTTAACGCCGAACTGTAAACTCCCAGAGAAGCAGTGGGTGACCCACTATGCTTGAACAAGGGCTTATATTATCAGTAATCCAGCTTGTTCACTAATAGCTGCCATCCTACATCGACACTGTTATGGATCGTTTAGCTAGTCCGCAAGGAATTCCGTCTTCTGAACCTGCCCGTCGTGGTTTAAAGAGCCTTTGAATATTTCTTCCTGAGACTGCACACGTTACCGAAGCACACTTAGGGAGACGGATCTTTCACAAACGGGTCCTTGCAATACGTGAGTCTCATCCGATGTGTTTGAGGTCGAAATCCCGCTACTTTTCTGTCTATTCGTGCTCCAGGAACGATATTCTCTCCAGTCATGACGGGGCATTTCCTGATACTGCTCTCACTCACCCATGTTGGCACAGTTTCCAAGACCTTCGCTCTATCAAGTCCAAAAAAACAACGGAGCAGAATGCCTCCCACTCCCACTCTGATTGATGACTCTGTGGATAATTGATACGAAGAAGTCCTTTGTCTGTCTCATGAATCAGTCGGCAATGTTGACAATGAGTGCACCGGGGATGGGGTCCGCCTTGACCCAGTGGCCGGACTTGCTGAGTACTTCGAGACTGTCAGAAGAGTCTTGAGTCACAATGGTGAGGCATTCAACGTCAGTGTGTGTGCTGATATCGTTCTGCTCGTCTACCGAGTGGTTTTGCTCAAGGGAGTGGAGAATGCGCATTCTCGCTTCTGGCCGCTTGACATACCCATCGAAGTATTCTCTAGGCAGGTGGAGCGCGAATGCGAAGTGATCCGGCGCAAGAGCCTCAAGAGCTTTGTGTGATAGGCGTATAGATTGTCCCGGAGACCAGGTAGGTCGGCAGGCAGATGCTGACGGACTTCAACTGCTCCCTAGTCTTTCTGCGTGTCTTAGGCCTAGTTGAAGGCTTCGCTCAGATCTGAGAAAGGGTCAACAGAGAAGAAAAAGCCCTGATCTTCTAGAATTTAGATCTTGACCTATCCTGAATTTTCCCCATCTTCAGGTCTTGTTTGCAACAATGACGTCTTCTTTGTCACGGAGCCGCCGTCTAATTCGGTGCGTAGAAGTACCTTAAATCAAGATACAGATACTGACTTGGACATCTATGTCAAGAAAGATACCCGTCCATTGCCTCCATGCCGTCGAGCCTACAGTCCTTGGGAGTTTGTGGGGTTATTGACGGTCCCCGGATCTTTCAATATAGGCGCTTAGGTAGACGACGGGTTCTTCCCGATTTCCTTGGGACTGAACGTCTGGGTAAGCGATTTAGCCCATTCCGCGTAGAACTAGAGGCAACGATCCGTAAGCTGATGTGGCTAAAGCAATCGATGATTGCAATCGTCGTCGCTCACACCTTTGTTGGGTTTGTGTGCACAGCTGGAGGCCACCCTGGCGCAAAGTGGCATATCGGGTTTCCGCTTTGGATGAAGCAGAATTGGGGTGTACGGGGTTATCTGTTTCCCATGGTAAGTCTAGACCTTAAATCTTACCTTAACTTTCCCAGTGCAAACAAGATTTGAGGCTGTGTGGACTAATCTCGCGACCAGGCCATCCGAGTCTTTTGAATGGACAGCCACCAACACGTGGTATGGGAGCTAATGATTGAAGGTCCTATTGACCTGCGTCTGGTTATCGCACCTCAATTTGGATTCTGAGCTTGCGGACGGGACGAGGAAAGTCTATGACCTCATCTCCTTCATCCTGTACTTCCTGCTCTGTTTGCCATTAGTGTGGTTCAGCACAGAAAACCATCGCAAGCCGTGACTCTCCGCCTCGACCACGGTGGTGACAGCCGTTTTATGCTATCGATCTGGGGCACAGCTCGTGCGGGCGGTGGAGGCGCCATTCTTGCAGATGTAAGCAAGGTCTCTGGAATCAAGCCTGCGCAAGGGGGAGACTTAGGCTGGGCTGTCGTAGCCGTGGTTACGGCTAAACTGGAGGTATCGCTAAGCATATGTGGTCTCAGTCCGACTACACCAGCTTTGCACGGGAACCAGGGGACCAAGTCCTCGCTCAGCTAATCATGGAACCCTTGGGAACCATCATTGTGGCCTGTATCGGTATTATCTGCACATCGTGCGCGGCAACGCTCTACCCCAACGAAGGGATGCTGCTATAGCAGCCCTACGCCTTCCTAGATGCTGTGCGCAAGAACGAGGCTAATTTCGGCGACCGGGCTGGGGCCGTTTTCGCCAGGATCGCTTTCATGCTATCGTAGTTTGGCATGGTCGTTGCCTTCAACTGCGGAGTCGCGGGTATCGATCTAGCCGCGCTGCTACCGCGATAGTTTACGATCCGTCGGGGGATTTCTGACCGTCGTCTTCGTCTTCGTCATGCAGCCCTTGTCACTGCTTAACAGTGCCGGCAACTTTCTAACCGTGGTCGGCAGCTTCAATGTCTTCCTCGGTCCGCTCAAGGGAATCATGTTTGCCGATGACTTCCTCATCCGCAAGCGGACCATGGAGCTTACCGGCCTGTAAAGCGACTCATCCGCCAGCGATTACTGGTAGAACAGAGGTTAAAATCTGCGGGCGGCCGTTTCTTGGGTGCTTGGAGCCTAGATATTCATTTACGGGTTAGCGGAAAGAGCCAAGGCACCTAGCGAAGTTTGGTTGGGTGTGGGAGACTATACCAGTTGTTCTGTTTTGTGGGATGTCTCGTATCTGGCTCGACGTATCTCGCATTCCATCGTATCGTGCCCATTCCTGAGAAACAGGCAGCGGATGACCTCGGTGATTTTGGCACCTTTGGAGACGCGCCAGTACTGCGCGGCGTGGCTGAGCTGGACGTAAGCTCGATATCAGAGGCTGGGGGAGAAAAGTCGCGCGCGGGGCAAAAGGTCCAGATCGTCTGACGCCAGTGCAAGTTCGTATTTATTGCCTGTTCCGTCGACTTTTCAAATAGACTAGAGCCCCAATATCTCTACAAACTTCAAGCCACCGTCCCAAGATGGAAAGCTGACAAGTAAATGTCTCAAACCATGAGTTCTTCGCCCCTTCAATCATATCATTTATGATGTCTTTTTTGTGATATGAGCCGTGGCACCCCTCCACATTCCATCTGATCGTCGTGCATGGCTGCAGCGTACCTGAAATTTCTGCATTTGCTCCGTGCTAATCCGTTTGCAATTGCATTAGAGGCTCGACAAAACCTAGACTATTTACGACATCAGCCCAAAACAATCGAGTGAGAAGCCTATTGGATCAAGGTAGAGGAGCACACAAGGGACGACTAGAACGGGTAGGGCGAGTGACTTTGGATGAATGGTCGCATTTCGCACAATGCCACCTTGCATTTTGGGCTTAGAGGAGCACGCGCCAATTCCTCTTTCTTCCCAGCTGTCAGTAATTAGCTCAAGCTTTGGGCGAGCTTATCCCACGTTTCATGGAGACTACCCATTTGGATTTCATTGGGGACACCCTTTGTCATGATGTGGATAACTGATCTTCAGAAGGCGAGATGGTACCCACGCCCATCAGACTTTCCGACGTCAATACCCGGCCCGTGGCCTCTAGGCGTGGTGCCGATCGAAAAGCTTGAGCCAGGTGCCGGTTCAAAGTCTATTCTTTCTATCTGGACTTTTGTCTCTACGTTCTTTTGAGCTCAAGCGGACCCCCCATCCCCGCATCCAGGAGAGAGGATGGTTCCGATCCTTGCGTAACCCGACCTTCTTTCATTAGGGTGCCGTCCCTACGGATCGCATGCCATCGAATACGGCCGAGTTTGGCTCCCTAGATCTTCTTACCTTGTTTTCCTTCTGATTGTCCTTTCTTGCCCCTGCCGCAATTTCCCTGATGCAGCAGTGGCAATCATCAGGTACGATCAACCTCATGTCGCGGCATGGTAGACGTCGACATTGACCCGCACCGACCTCGTCGCGTTATCGCGGTCGCCATCTTTTGCCTCTGCCTCACGTGGGTTGCAGTGCCGCTGCGCATCTACTCGAGGCTCTTCCTGACACGGGTCTTCACTCTCGATGACAAGCTCATATGCTTGGTCCAGATTACATTCACCGCGTATCTTCTTACGGATATCGCAGCAGTCTTCCATGGGTCTGGACATGATGCTGTAGAGTTTTCGCCAGAGGACAGAAGGATAGCTCTTCAGGTATGTGTAGACGACTTCTTAACGGTGAACCAACAAGCTTGAAGTCTTTCCACTTTATGCGCACTAGAGAGCTGATACTCTATCTGCAGCTTTTCTTCGCCGGCGAACTCCTTTATCTGATAACTACTCTGCTCCTGAAAGTCTGCGTTGGCCTACTGTTGCTCAGCATTGCCATTGTACCTTTACACATTTGGACACTTCGAATACTCCTCTGTTCGACATTCGTGTTCGGGTCCCTGTACTTCGTCCTTGTCATCTTCCAGTGCAGACCGCTTCACGTATTCTGGGACGTGGGCCCTCGGACACCAGGCAGCTGCTTCTCAGATAGCGTGGTGCTTGGCTGCACATACACCCTCGCGATTCTGAACTGTCTCGCGGACTGGACCTTTGGCATTCTGCCGTTGTTGATTGTCTGGTCCCTGCAGATGCGCCTAAAGACGAAGCTACTAGTCATTCTCCTGCTAGGCTTCGCATCCATGTATGTCGCCCTGCCTGTTCGTGTACCACCATACGCAAAAGCTTCTGGACTCACCAATCACCTCCCGTCTTCTTTAGAGCGAGCATTGCGACCATAGTGCGCGCAGTAGCTGTTCCAGCATTGCTCAACCAGGAAAACTTTCTGCGTATGTCTCAAGAAAGCTACCCTATAGCCAGGCTTAGTCATTTACTTACTTTTCCAAGGCGACACAGCATATCTCGCCATCTGGAGCAACATCGAGCCCGGTATTGGCATAGCTGCAGCCTGTGCACCGGCTCTGTCCCCGCTGGTTCGACACCTTCTCGGGAAAAGGCAACGGCGGGGATACGAAAGGGGCATCTGGCGAACACGGGACCTTCCAACAATCACAAACGACTCAATGGCGCTATCGGACAGAACAGAGAGGAGGCAACACGAGTTCCGAAGCGGGGGCACATCTAAAAACGACGTACTACGTCTGCGGTTCGACGACTTTTCATACGAATCCCGGATCTCCTCCGGCCCACAGGCAAATCAGGTGCGGCCGGTGCCGCCGCCAAGGAGTCGGTCGTCGTGGGCCTTTCCGTTACGGCGCGGGTCAGGGGCCAGCGGCGGCGGCTTCGATTGTCTTACTGCTGATCCCACGCTCACCACATCGACTATATCGTCAGACGGGGCAGCGGCCGAGCCGCCGTCCTCGGGGATCATGAAGACGATGGAGTTTCAGCTATCGTATGAGGCGAGAACGTGGACGACGTCGAGGCGGGGGAGGATGATTCCGCGGGACGAGAGCATGACGCTGCGGCCTTCGACGATTGCGGAGATGAGGAGGGTGACAAGCGGAGAGGTGCCGCTTCTTCATGACGGGATGTCTCCGACTTCAAGAGATTATGACGTTGAAGCTGGGTTTACACGGAGATCGTATAATAATCGGCACTCATCTCCGCCTGGGTCACCGTGGGAGTGGATGGGGAACCGACAGGCCAGGCCTCTTTCTATGAATGGGGGCAAGTTCGGAGCTGAGCCCACTCATACGACAACGGCGGAAAAGCGGCTATCGACAAAATCATAGTAAGAGAAGCACGGACTTCAGTTCAGCGAATACATAATTTTCAGTACATACTTATCTTCGTATTGACACCTTGTCTGGAAACTTGTGTATGGTCGCCCATATGCTATCACACGTCCAAATAACATACGCAGTGTGGCTGAGGTCTACCAGTACCAGGAAGTAAGTTGAGTATGAACAGTACTAGAGGTAAACTCCATTTTTACTCAACACTCTAGGAGTTCATCACGTCTGAATTTTCAGGTTACCTTAGTTTTCGTTAGTATTGACGTAAGCAAGATACCCGTTTGATCGGCCCAAAGCTTACTACTGCTCAATGGCATGATGATATGTGGAATGAACTAAGAAATCAATAAGAGACGTAAAGTATTCCAGTAAAGCTTTGAAGAATTGCACATTGTCGTCTCTATGGTTCCAAGGGCAGTGCAGTCATCAACTCCCGAACACACTTAGATCAAACAATCAGCTACATTACGATTCATACTGTTGTAAAAGAGTGTAAATTGAGTTGGTCTGCTTCTTATGTAAATTATGAACGCCTTCTTCCAGTTTATCCTGTTTTAATTTTCTCAGTCCACCAGATCCAGTTAGTCATCCTTAAAAGACGAAGCTATAAACTAAGATAGCAATGCCTACCAAAATCCGCCATTAGCCTAAGCTCTTATTCCGAAGGTCAGAACGCTAGTACTCAAAACAGCAGACCAGGTGTGGGAGCTTCGACTTACTCACTCAGGTCCACACTGCTTCGAAAGAGTACGCATGCTGCGCACCCACAGTGCTTGTATCCAACTTTTCCGATAGCAATATTGATACTGTCTCATACAGAGAAAGGCAAGTACTGAAACAAGTGTCTAGGACAGCGATCGACGAAAGTCATTCACCCATTCTTCAAGATCGGATCTGGTGAAGGGGGTAACGCGAATGTTACGTCCCACATGCTCTCTGAAGAACTCCTCGCCTTCTTCAGCGCTGAAAACAAATTGAGTCGCAGGTGCAGAATTCGGGTTCATGTCGTCGACCTTGAGAACGAAGTCGGAAGTGATCCCCGCGGGGGATTGCATGGTTTCATACAAGGCGTTCGGGCGGGAAGATATAGTGCCAATTACAATGGTCGCCAGCTTGTACTTGCGGAGATGTCTCGGATGGATCTGACCGCGCCGACAAGTCCAAATGAGCTCCTTCCATTCCGGGCTGGGCCAGAAGGTGCGTAGAAGCTCTGGAGAATCCATCTGCTCGATGGCGGAATTCGGAATCGCTATGGAGACAATGCAAACCGCCAGATTATGGCCACGCCGTTTTGCGAATGCGGCGTATCGCTCGGCCACCTTGTAGTCGGGCGTGAAGTAGTAGAGCTCGCCATGGCCACTGAAGTCTGTCGGCGCCCAGCTTCGGAGAGGGCTGATGCGGTCGATCTGGCCATTGACATTCAAGAGATTGGCAACTCGGTGGTGTTCAACTCCCTTGAATAATATCGTGAAACCAGGGGCATTCCGAGCTGCGATGGCAGACGCGGACCGGGAGCTTCCAGCTGCTACACCGCGGGTTCCATCCCTCTGAACACTGGAAGAGGATCGATTGAGACGGCCCCCCCGACTGGAGGCAGAACTTCCTCCACCAAGGGAGCCTTGTCCTGTCTGAGAAGACTCAGCGCGGGTGTGAGCGTTGCGAGTCTGAATGCCGAAGCTGGCGGGACCTGTGAGAGAGACCAGGTTGATTAAGCCAGAATCTCTCAATCTGGAGGCTCTTTGCATATCGCGGAGAGCTTCAAATCGCATTCTGATTGTATCTTTGGCCCAGTCGAGGCATGACATCGTGAGGCGAGTGTACTTGAACATCGGATCCATAAT